CTTTAAAAATGGTGATAAACGTATGTTCAATAATTATAGACCAATATCCTTATTACCACAATTCTCAAAAATTCTAGAAAAACTATTTGTGACCAGATTAGATAAATTTATTACTAAACAAAACATTCTAAGTAGCAGTCAGTATGGGTTTAGAGCAAAAAACTCTACATCAATGGCTCTCATGGAAATAATAGAACAAATAACTACTGCTGTCGATCAAAAACAGTATTGTGTTAGTATTTTTGTTTATTTAAAAAAAGCATTTGATACTATTGACCACACTATTCTCCTTGAAAAATTAAATAAACATGGACCAGCATTACACTGGGTATCTAGCTATTTAAAAGATAGGAAACAGTTTGTACAAATAAATGGTGTAAGATCTGACCTGTGCAATATCACTTGTGGAGTTCCTCAAGGCTCTGTACTTGGACCAAAGTTATTCATTTTATATGTGAATGACTTAGTGAATGTATCAGGACTCCTCAAATGTGTCCTTTTTGCAGATGACACCACATTTTTTTGTTTGGGTAAAGATGTAAAACGGATGTTGGAATTGATGAAGACAGAATTTGATAAAATACAAACTTGGTTTAAACTTAATAAATTATCATTAAATTTAGACAAAACTAAATACATGATATTTAGTAACAAAAAGAAAAATGTTGACGATCCATTTAAAATTGAGGGTGTTGAGATTTGTAGAGTTAATGAGATGAAATTTTTGAGTGTAATCATTGATGAACAGCTAACATGGAAAAATCACATAAATTTTGTAAGAACAAAAATAGCTAAATCTATTGCAGTACCATACAAAGTCAGGGAATTATTAAATGATAAAGCTCTGTACATGTTGTATAACACAATCATTGTTCCACATTTAATCTATTGCATTGATGTTTGGGGGAAAGCGTGTAAAACATTTACAAAACCTATTTTTATTTTACAGAAAAGAGCTATAAGAATTATCACCAGAAAGCATTACAGTCACCCATCAAGCACATTATTTTATCATCTGAAGTTATTGAAATTCCATGATTTAGTAGATTACAGTATTTTATCAGTTATGTATAGGGCTCAAAATAACACATTACCATTAAATATCCAAATAAATTTTGTTAAAAGACAAAGTTGTTATCATCTTAAGGGGATAGAGATATTTGTCAAACCAAAATTCAGAACTAGTCTGAAGGGAAGGTCTACCTCAATCCAAGGAGTTGGATTGTGGAATGGTCTAGAGAGTGATGTTAAAAATGCCAAGTCAATGTGTACATTTAAGAAAAAGATCAAAGCTGAATTGTTAAAAAAAAGTATATATGAAGTAGCTTAGTGTGTGTTTTGTATTAGAATTAGAAAAATTAGAAAGCTATTCATTTTGTTCTGTTACTTGAAAATGATTATGATTGAAATAATTGTTTGAAAAAAGGGGCAGATATAATAAGATTTTTTCTTCTTTCTGCTGCCTTTCATTTTAAATCTTTTGTATCTTTTTTATATTGTTATGGAATTGTTTTGTACTTTTTTAAAATGAATAAACTTTATACCATACCATGCTGCTAGAGTCTTAACCGGAGTTAGTAGGAGAGATCATATCTCTCCAGTTTTAGTTTCTCTCCATTGGCTCTCTGTCAAGTCCAGAATTGAATTCAAAATCTCACTTCAAAGCTCTCAACAACCTGGCTCCATCTTATATTACCGATTTTATTATTCCATATTTTCCTAACAGAGCACTTCGTTCTCAGACTGCAGGTTTACTTGTGGTTCCTAGAATTTACAAAAACAGAATGGGAGGCAGATCTTTCAGTTATCAGGCTCCTCTCTTGTGGAACCAACTTCCAATCTCTGTCCGTGAGGCTGACACATTATGCAGTTTTAAAACTAGGCTTAAGACTTTCCTTTTTGCTAAATCCTATAGTTAGGGTCGGCTTGGGTTTCCTGAGCTGTCCCTTAGTTATGCTGCTATAGGCTTAGACTGCTGGAGGACAAACTGACCACAATTTTCACTCTACTACTGTCTTTACTTACTCTGCTCAACCTATTTTGTATTTGTAATTGTTTTTCTATCCTTAACATGTGTTTTTTTTTTGTCTTTCAGATACACCTGGACCTATACCTGGATCTACCATTCTGTGTTCGTCTGTCTCTCCTTCCTGTCTTCTCAACCAGCCGGTCAAAGCAGATGGCCGCTTGTCCTAAGCCTGGTTCTGCTGGAGGTTTCTTCCTTTTAAAAGGGAGTTTTTCCTTTCCACTGTTTCCACTGTGCTTGCTCAGGATGGGAGACTGCAACAAAGCCAAGATTCAACTTGTCTACTGGATTCCTTAGATAGAGAACTTTACTAATTGGCGTTTATATATGTGAATGTTCCTGTAAAGTGCCCTGAGATTGTTAGGAGTGCGCGGGGAACCCAGATGGTATGAGACCCAGAACGAGGCAGACACAGGGGAAATACAAAAGAACAGTGTTTATTATGTACAGTGATATTAAAGCGTCCACAAGCTGCTTCACAGAGGCTCCTGGAAAGAGGGACGACAGGTTAATAGTTGTCCAACGGGGTAGGCCAGAGTGGTTTGTTTAATGAGCGTTTGTCCTTACAGTCCAAACCCGAGGAGGAGAGCTGGTCCTTCAGTCCAAGGAGAGCGAGCAGCAGAGGGAAATCCAACAAGGGTCCAAAGGGGAACGAGGAAGGCTGGCAACTGGAGGCAAAGAGGCACAAGGAATACCTGACAGGCCAAGGGATCCAGATCAGGTCACGAGGGAATCCAAAAAGCACGAGGAACCAGGAAACTGGAAAAAAGAGCAAAAGGTGAACAAATTCTTTTCACCAAGACATTTGCCTCACAACAGTACTATACCATAAGAGGTGATATGCTCCAGCGTTGAGTCACACCGGACTGCAGCCTTAAGTAAATGGAGAGGCTCATCAGGCTGATGGCCGCCAGGTGTTGGTAATCAGCAGCCATCAGCAAGGCAGGCTGCAGGCAGTGGGACCCTTACAGTACCCCCCCTCAAGAATCGCCTCCTGGCGACCTGAGACGCTTCTCGGGGTGGTCTCTGTAGAACCTGGAAATAAGGCTAGGATCAAGGATGAAGGACCTGGGGATCCACGACCTCTCCTCAGGACCGTACCCCTCCCAATCGACCAGGTATTGGAAGCCCCTACCCCTGCGTCTCACGTCCAAGATGGAACGGACGGAGAACACAGGGTGGTTGTCAATCAGGCGGGGCGGCGGAGGGAGGTCAGATAGAGGACACGGGAATGAGGGAGACAGGCTTAACCTGCGAGACGTGAAACGTTGGGTGGATACGCATGGCCCTGGGAAGCTGGAGGCGGACCGCAGAGGGGTTGATAATGCGGGTTCTATTGCCTGGGCTGAGAACATCACGCATCAAATGAGGGTGTTATCATTTATCATGAATGAGGGTTCTTTAAGGTTCATACTGATCTGGCTGTGACAGTTTATTGACATCAAATTGGCATCACTTATCATTATTACCATCTAATTAACGTTACCAGCAAAGTAAAGGGTTTTCTATTTTCTGATTTTACTTTTAAACATATAGATAGAGGGGTATTTTTAAAATATATCTTTAGCCAACCATTTGAAACTGTGAATTTACTGATTTTATTAAGCTATGTGTTAATAAATGATAATTGCTAGACTAGATTTTTTTGGATTTTTACATGTACTGAAATGATTATAGAACACTGTTTTGACATTACACATATTTATAGGTTGTGTTTACAATGCTAATCAATGGACTATATGCCACGGACTTCCATTCTAGCGCTTCCGCATTTATTAGCCACACTGAACACGTCCGGCTCTCAGGCAACACAGTGTTAGTAATGGCGTTTTTCACTCGTTCACTGCAGGACTTGCCGACAATGTCTGTTAATGATGTCTACAGAATTATTCAGACGTCCTCGAAAGCGCCTACATCCAAAAAGGACAAAGTATTTAAGCTTTATGTGTCCAACTACATAAATAACTATGAAGGTAAGTCGGTATTTGTTTTTCAGTTCACCAAACTGCCTCATATAGGCTACATATAACACAGCTAACATAGCTAATCTTGCGAAATTGTTGAGTAAACGTTAAGTGCTTTGTCTCTACAATGTTTCTGTTTAACACAAATCTTAGTTTCAAACAAGGAGGCAGGAGAAGTCACAGTTAGGGCTGAGTATTTCCGTTCCATGAAGAAGAACCAGAAGCCCCATTGTTTGAGTGTAAGTCAAAGGGACCCGACATGTTCACTACAGGGCTGTGTTTTAAGAAGCTAGTATGACTTTGAAGAAGTACACATTTTATATATGATAGTCAAACTAAATCACATAACATTAACTGGCTACACAAGTTATCTCTGATTGATTAAAGCAACAAAAAAAGCCCAACTTGTGTTTATTTTATTTATTTATTTCTGAGGTACACAAAGGAACAGTTGCTTCAGGTTTGTTATTTTCAAATCAAGTTTCTGTGAATTCTGTCACTGCAAAAAAAAAAGAAGAATATGATTGAACTGCATCAAATGGCACCTGGGTTGTCATGTAATACATAAACTTAGGGAGTATCAGAAAGAATATAACAGTAATGGTTCTCACAGAAATGAGATTGTGTTTTGAGTTCTTTTTAATTTAATGAGTAAAGTGAGCTTAGACAAAATATATTTTAATATATTTTACATGCTAAAGGTGTCTTAACATTTTTTCTCATTTCACTTTGATCATTTTTAATGATTACTTAAAAGGTTTATTAATGGTTTTATAATTATGGTTGTCTTTTTATAATAGCACTTGGAGCTGGTACATTTTGGTCTCTTAACAAATATTTGGTATTGTACACAGATGGTGCTGAGGGAATCAAAGCCGGTGGAGTTTCAGGGATGCCAGTGCACCTGTGTGGCAGGTACAGTCTTGTGCAGCCATGTGGCAGCTCTGCTATTCCAGATGGCTCACTACTCCCAGTTGAAGCTTCCAGCTGTACCTCCAGTCCTAAGCTGCACAGATACCGAACAGAAGTGGCATAAACCAAGGACAATGGTAACTACATATACATGAGTCTTTAATCCTGTTTATGAATTTTAGTTCAATATTTACAGCAATGTTGTTTTTGGATGCAGGGCATAAAACCTGGTCCAGTAAATGACATGGTCGTCCTGTCAGCAAGACCAAGAGAGAGGAAAATCTTTGAAGGAATTAGGTTTGTTTTAATTTAAAGACCACAGACACACATGCACAATAACACACATGCACAATTTTTTTTTTATTAATTTAATTTAAAAACAAAACAGAACACATATGTACAACAAAAACTTAATTTAACCACTTAAGTTTATTTTGTGGGCAGCACGGTGGTGCAACTAGTAGAAGCGAGTAAAAGATAATGGATGGATGGATGGATGGAAGTTTATTTTGTACTATATTAGAAATACTTTAAAAATGCAAATAAGTAAATAATTCAACTTCATTTTTAAACAAGACAATAATTTGAATACCTAAAATACAATAACATAGGCTTCATTTAGTATTAATTTTATCATTTGAATATTCATTTCTTGTTTATGACATAGTTTCCTTTTCCCCACAGAAGCAACTTGTATAAAGGTGCTACCAGCCCTCTTCCACTCATCTCCACCCTAAGGATACAGGATGTGTACAAGGGACTTCCAGCTGAAGAAGCACCAATGATAACCACAATGGTCAATTAAAGTGGCATTGTAAAGCAAAACCTTTGAATATATGTGATTAAATATATTGTTAATACCTGAGTCATGTTCCTTTTATTTTATTTTAGTTTTAATCAGTTAGAGTTATTTCTGTTTAAGGTCTGATACAAGTTATTCTGTATGAAATTTGCTACTTGACTGTCGTAATCGTACCCTCTTTGCAAACTGTTTCTGTTTCAACATTTTGTGCTCTAGATGAGTGGCATTATGATTATAGTGCAATCAAGGATGACTATAGTGTCAGGGTAGTCTTTGAAGTCTGCTGGTAGATTTTTGCGTATCTGGTCCTCCGGTATCCAGATCCTAATAGAACCTAATACTGTAAATAAAAAGTTGCTCCATGTTTTCACGATCCGGCTGACAGTGGACTGATGGACACCGTACCGGTCAGCAAGATCCCGTTGCTTGGACCCAAGGGCAAGGTAATTTAAAAACATAAAGAACTCATCAATGGGCTGCAAAGTACGAGTTGAGGGAGTGGAGTTGAGGGCAGTTCCTCTCAGTCCTTGGTGAACACTGACCATGGATGGCAGAGAGGGCTCAATCATGGCCCAGAAACGCATCAGGTGGTCATATGATGCAAACCTAAAAATAAAAAAAATACCATAACAATTAGTGTTCATGTTTAACTACACAGCATAATCAAAAACAAATTAAACACCAGGCCTCGTTTTGAGCACTATATTGTAATACATATGATCAATTTAGAATATATATACAGGTCCTTATCAAACAATTAGCATATTGTGATAAAGGTCATTATTTTCCATAATGTAATGATAAAAATGAAACTTTCATATATTTCAGATTCATTGCATACCAACTGAAATATTTCAGGTCTTTAATTGTTTTAATACTGATGATTATGGCATACGGCTCATGAAAACCCAAAATGCCTGTCCCAAAAAATTAGCATATTTCATTCCACCAATGAAAGACAAGTGTTTTTAATACAAAAAACGACAACCTTCAAATAATCATGTTCAGTTATGCACTCAATACTTGGTCGGGAATCCTTTTGCATGAATGACTGCTTCAATGCGGCGTGGCATGGAGGCAATCAGCCTGTGGCACTGCTATGGAGGCCCAGGATGCTTCGATAGCGGCCTTAAGCTCATCCAGAGTGTTGGGTCTTGCGTCTCTCAACTTTCTCTTCACAGTATCCCACAGGTTCTCTATGGAGTTCAGGTCAGGAGAGTTGGCAGGCCAATTGAGCACAGTAATACCATGGTCAGTAAACCATTTACCAGTGGTTTTGGCACTGTGAGCAGGTGCCAGGTCGTGCTGAAAAATGAAATCTTCATCTCCATAAAGCTTTTCAGCAGATGGAAGCATGAAGTGCTCCAAAATCTCCTAATAGCTAGCTGCATTGACCCTGCCCTTCATAAAACACAGTGGACCAACATCAGCAGCTGACATGGCACCCCAGACCATCACTGACTGTGGGTGCTTCACACTGGACTTCTGGCATTTTGGCATTTCCTTCTCCCCAGTCTTCCTCCAGACTCTGGCACCTTGATTTCTGAATGACATGCAAAATTTGCTTTCATCCGAAAAAAGTACTTTGGACCACTGAGCCAGTGCTGCTTCTCTGTAGCCCAGATCAGGCGCTTCTGCCACTGTTTCTGGTTCAAAAGTGGCTTGACCTGGGGAATGCAGCACCTGTAGCCCATTTCCTGCACACACCTGTGCACGGTGGCTCTGGATGTTTCTACTCCAGACTCAGTCCACTGCTTCCACAGGTCCCCCAAGGTCTGGAATCGGCCCTTCTCCACAATCCTCAGGGTCCGGTCACCTCTTCTCGTTGTGCAGCGTTTTCTGCCACACTTTTCCCTTCCCACAGACTTCCCGCTGAGGTGCCTTGATACAGCACTCTGGGAACAGCCTATTCGTTCAGCAATTTCTTTCTGTGTCTTACCCTCTTGCTTGAGGGTGTCAATGATGGCCTTCTGGACAGCAGTCAGGTCGGCAGTCTTACCCATGATTGCGGTTTTGAGTAATGAACAAGGCTGGGAGTTTTTAAAAGCCTCAGGAATCTTTTGCAGGTGTTTAGAGTTACGTCGTTGATTCAGATGGTTAGGTTAATAGCTTGTTTAGAGAACCTTTTCATGATATGCTAATTTTTTGGGACAGGCATTTTGGGTTTTCATGAGCTGTATGCCATAATCATCAGTATTAAAACAGATAAAGACCTGAACTATTTCAGTTGGTGTGCAATGAATCTGAAATATATGAAAGTTTCATTTTTATCATTACATTATGGAAAATAATGACCTTTATCACAAAATGCTAATTTTTTGAGAAGGACCTGTATATTCACATACAAATAAATATATATATATATATATATAGGCACATAGACACAAACATATATACATACATACAAATAAATATCTATATAAATATATGTGTGTGTGTATATATATATATATATATATATATATATAGATGTGTGTGTGTGTATAATTTTATATTTAAGTTGCATTAAATAATTTTATAGTCTGTGTGACACAAACGCACGCACACACACACCTACCTTGTGTAGAATCTAATGTCATTGTCGGAGGTTGTGAAACGGTGAATGCCGAACCGCTGCCTCAGCGTCAGGCTCTCAACTTGTTCCCGTAGCTGGCGGATTTCCTCCCGGAGATTATTATTTTCCTCCACCACTAAATCCACAACTGCAGGGTCTGGAGTAGCGGCATACTCGTGATCCTTAAGGACGTCTACACTGGCTGTTGTGCCATCTTCCTCCTCGCTGTCTTCTGGAGGTGGTCTTTCTCTTCTCTCCCAAACCCCGGGTCTTGGAGGTGTAAAGAAGTAATTATTCCACTCAAACAAAGCAGGTACAGCTCCCTTTTTTAACCTCCGTCTTCCCATTTCTGATGCTGGCTGTTGAATGTCCTCAGGTTTGAAATGCCGACTACATATGCGAGTGTGAGATTTTATAGCTAAATTTTCCCTGCGAATAGCCACGATCCATTATCGCCTTAACTCCTCATCAGCAGGAAAATGAAAAAAAACTAACTACTCTGCTGTACCTACTGGTTAGTGGACACAACGGCACACAACAGAACTCACTTGTAGTACCAGTAGCTCGCAGATGTTTTACTTTTAGAGTCTTTTTCATGTCTACTTCTAGGAGCTAATGATAAAAACAATAACAGAAGGTAGGAGCCGGAAGTGATCGACATGGCTTATTTTTTAACGGAAGTACGTCACCACTACCCATGGCATATAGTCCATTAATGATGTGATTATATCTAAAGCTAAGTTTTGGGGATTTTTGAACGATAAAATAGAACAACTGCTGTTATGTTTATAAAGCAATATTTTGAAAGTAGAGTTACAAATTTTCTATCTGTTATTTGATTCCAAAACTGATTAGTTGAATGTGGGAGAAGAAAATTACAATTTTATTTGAAACTAAAAGGGTTTTTAGAGTGAACTTCTTGATGTTATAACTAAGTGGACCTTCCTAGGAGTGTGTTACAACCTAACGAGGAGGAAGTCAAACACGGGTGAATATAACAGGAAATTTAACAGATAATATGAAGCTAAGTTCTGGGTAAATTTTTAACAATTAAGTACAGATGTGTACTTTAGAATTGTGGTTAATTTGAATGTTGAACTCAGCATGAATTGGGTGACAGGTCTTCTCAAACTAATTTGAGAGATGAGATGATTGATGGACTGACTAATTATGGGATGGGTTAAATATTAATGTTTACAGTTTATTTACAGTATTATGGAGCGTTATGATGATTTTTCCTTAAAATTAACATGGTTGAACAAGATACTTTTGCATGGTACTTAGTTAAATATTACCTTTTAATGATTACTTGATGTTTTGTGTATTTAATGACTATTTGATGTTTGAAGACATACAAATTTTTCTAGAGCAGATCATGATGAAATAACGCCACTAGATGGTGCAAATGCGATGATAAACTTAATTTTTGATATTGTTTTCTATGAAATAATGAATTTTTTTACAGCTAACGGCCATGAAGAAGAGATCAAAGGATTTTGATAAATACATATGAGGTTTTATAATATAGATTTTCCAGGGGGTAAACTCATGACATTTTTCAATCTAAATTGGGACTAAATTGAAGGGTGGTGGAATGGGTGAATTGATTTGTTGGTTAATTGGGAATGTTTTTATATTAGATCACCAGGGGGAGTTGGAAGGTTCTATTATTTACATACAATATGCACGTTAAAACATGTTAAATGTTTAAATCAGATTTTATTCACACAAACACATTTTTTCTGCTGTGACAGGCTAAAAATACCGGCAGCGCTCTGTGCAATTAAATTGGGTATTGACTGAAGAGGAAGGGGGCACAGAGTTTTTTCTTTTTCAGATGGACACAGTAGGCCAGACCTGCCCTTTGGAGTCAAAAAGAGAAGTTCAGGTTCTACAACTGATTAAGGGTGCATTCACACTAGCCCTGTTTAGTCCACTTTAATCGAACTCTAGCTCATTTTCCTAGAAAGTCCGGTTCGTTTAGGGAGGTGTGAACGCGCCATCGAACTCTGTCACGGAACAAAAAGGCGAACTCTGGCCCGGGCTAAAACCTAGGTCTCGGTCCGGTAGAAGCGAACTCCAGCGCGGTTTGAGTACAGTGTGAATGTAAACAGACCAGACCCGCTCCACAGGGTAAACAAACACGCATTTCTCTGACCTTATATGGAGCCGTCAGCTGCCTTGTGTGAAAAACCATATTCTCCATGGTCTTCTGTCTCATCTTCTGCTCATGCTAAGTCCATTTTTGAAAAATGACAAAATATAACTCCTAAAACTGCTAAAACTTGATGCCACTTCGTTTTTATTTTTATTTACAGAAGAAGAAGAAGACGTGTCTTCAGAGGTTTTTGTGTCGTTTCTTTCAGTAGTTCTTGGTGCAGCGCCCCCACAGGCGAGTGGGGGAAT